AGTTGTTTATTACAGTTGATTTTTACAGTTGTTTATTACAGTTGATTTTTACAGTTGTTTATTACAGTTGATTATTACAGTTGTTTATTACAAATGTATATCAGTTGTTTACTACAGTTGTTTGTTGTTAATTACAGTTGTTTCTTACAGTTGTTTACTACAATTGTTTGTTGTTTATTACAGTTGTTTACTACAATTGTTTGTTGTTTATTACAGTTGTTTATTAGTTGTGTTTATAAGTTGTTTATCACAGTTGTTTACTGCAGTTTGTGTGTTGTTTACAGTCACTAACTTATTATTACCTTTACTTCCTCACTGTGAGCAGTCGCTCTGAATGTTAAATAAAGTTTTATATGTTTGAATGAAGCCTTTTGGCAGACGGAGCGTTCACTGTCTCCTCGTTCTTTTGGACGTCGGGCCTCTGCCAGCCTCCTGGCAGCGCCGCTGCTCTCCCAGGACTCGTTACCAGGCAACCAGCAGCCGGCGGCCATGACTGCTTTATTCATCTCGAGACTGAAGAAAGAAAGAAAGAAAGAAAGAAAGAAAGAAAGAGATGTCTGACCTTCATGATAGATGTTGTGTTTATGATCGTTGGAACTTTTAACCTTCCGTTTTAGGAAAAGAACTGAAGTCACACAATGTTTTTATTTCTTTAATTTAAAATTTGAAAAGAGTTCATTGTAAACATGTGATATTATCAGAATGAAAAGATTCTGTAAAGTCTGACTGTTGTTGGTTGTGTGAACATGACGTGAGGCGTTCACAGTTGTACTTTTGACTGATGCGGAAATTGCTGATGCGTTCAGGTGCAAAACGACAGATTCAATGAAAGAAAAAAGTGGACTATGGCTTCAAAAGACCTGAATTCAGACGTGACTGTTGGTGGCTAACAGTAGATGTTATTTTTTATCGTATGCTATCGTTGATTGAACTCCAATAATAACTATTGCTGCGTTATGAACAGGTATTGCTACTGTCTCTCTCTCTCTCTGTCTGTGCGCTCTGTGTAGATCTATTAATTAGTATTGATCGTCATTATTAGTTCTTGATGAACAGGTTAAATTTCTGTGACATCACACTGTGATCGGCTGTTATGTAACAGCCTGTCGCTGCCTCCAGGTGCATGCTGGGACATGAAGAGGTGACTGCGGTCGTTTAGAAACAAATGTAAATCTGAGTGTTTAATCCCTGTCACCACGGCAACCAGCTCACACACACACACACACACACACAGCAGACCATGCCCCCAGTCTGTGAGGTCACTGCTACAGTAGTAATCTGATTGGCTGTTCAGCTGGAGGCAGTGATGAAGAGGAGGATGAGGAGGAGGTGTTACATAACAGGAGGCACTGATAAAGGAGAGAGAGGAAGGAGGGTAAAGAGAAAAAATAAAAAGATGAATGGATGAAAACAAAAGGAGGAAGGAAGGAAGGAAGGAAGGAAGGAAAGGAAGAAACAAAGGAGGGATGAAAAATGAAAGGAAAGAGAGAAAGGAAGGAAGGAAAAGAGGGAGGAAGGAGGTGAAAGAGGAGAACAAAGGAGTAAAGGAGGGAGGGGCAGCAGCAGAGTAATCTAGGGCACTGAGGACTGAGGTCGTTGTCATGACAACCTCCTCCCTCTGTGATTGGCTGCAGACCAACAGGAGGACACAAGCACTGACCAATCACAGCTCTCTGTTCGTCCCCTTCTCACTTCACATCTGCAGCTGATTGGCCACATCCACTGTGAGGCTGACTCACTGCTGGAGCCTCTAGTGGACATTGGAGGAACTGCAGGCTGCTGATTGCTTCCTGTTAGAAAAGTATTATCGGATACAATCTCTGTCTGTAAAATCATATTTATTGATTATTAATTAATTAATTAATTAATTATTGATTAGACACTGAATGTCAGAGAAAATACTCTGTCTCCCTCTGGTGGATAAAAATAAGAAGAACAATGTAACAGACAAACAGACAGACACAGACACAGACAGACAGACAGAATAGTTGATGATGGATCGAAAACTTGAAAAACTCATTATGGCTCAGGTGAGTCCTGAACCATCTCTTAGTTATGCTGCTATAGGCCTAGACTGCCGGGGGATTTCCCATGATGCACTGCTCTCTCTGTCTCTCTCTCTCTCTTTCTCTCTCTCTCCCTCTCTCTCTCCCCCTCTCTCTCTCTCTCTCTGTCCTAGGTTTCTGCCTGTTAAAGGCAGTTT